ACTGACTATGCCACTCTTGGCATGCAGCAAATTGCTTTGAAACGTGAACATTGCTCAGTAGGTTACGTGCCACTTCATGCGCATCACTAGGCTCCGCCCTCGATACCTCGGACCTCGTCCGATAATCCCTATCTCGGCATGCAGCAACTGCTTCGATACTTGAGCAGTTCTCAATGGATTACGTGCCACTCCACATGTATCACTGGGGCGTCGCCCTCGACGCCTCGGATTGGCCAACCATGCCAGTTGTGGCATGAAGCAACCGCTTAGATACTTTGCAGTGCTCAGTGGGTTACGTGCCACTCCACATGCAGCCCGCGAGCCACTCCACATGCAGCCCGCGAGCCATGCTTGGGACTTCTGTCCGACACCTTCAATATTCGACAGCTTAGATACTTCGATATCCAGCACGTTGACCGTCCCGTTCCAGTGCCCACGCCAATAGCGCTTCTGCTTTTCGTAGAAGTGGGTTAATGACTCACCGAAGCTCCAGCAGGAGACATGCGCGTAGCGCTTAAGGTCTTCGACATTCAATTGATCCATGGATCATGGTGTTCCAACCATACCATACCAAGGATAGGGCATACCTTGCATTCAAGTCTACCCTAAGCAGCTTTCCACGCTTTCGAAGTCAAGACACTTAGGAACATTATGAGCTGTTATTTCGGGCTTATCCAGCCTTTCAACACAATTGTACCAGAAGTAAAGTTGTACATACTCAATCGACTCGTACGACCTACCATTGAGTAGTCTTTTCGATGTCAGGGCACATAAGTGATTATTGTTGTTATACGTCCGTGAAAATTATGTATAATACAGTTTTGCTCAATTGTACAAAAAATTCACGATACACTTTTGTTTAATCGTGAAAATTAAAGCTGCCTTTCGTCTTCTAATATCTATACTGGCGAATTATAGATAAATATATCCCGAATGGGTGTGCAATTTAGTAAAAATGGACAACCTTGTTGGTTGACGAGAGCAACAATGCCGTCCATCGGCATTATAGATATTACCGCCTACTGACGCTTATGGAGTTTACACACGAGCACTACTACTTGTAACGTACTGACAGCAAAACAACACAGCAATCAGCAATAATAATGTTATTACAAAACGAATGGCTTACAAGCGCGTTGCTTCGATTATCGAAAGTAAAGATCTTGTGCATCATGTGGCTTTAACGGTCATGTATAGGAGACAGCTTGTCCGACATGAAGGCTAGAACATTAAAAATATATCTCCTCCACCACCTTAATAGAGTGTCTGTATCTAAATCTTTAAGCCAGCCCAAAATTTTTATCACAATAGCAAACAATGCTACATCGGTCATACACATGGTATCCGGGGTGAAAAATGTACATTTTACCCTCTGTAACTACCGAGCCAGTTCGAAAACGCCGACAGCGACGCAACACGCTCTCAACTGTTGGGCCGCACCTCCTTCAAAACCTAACCAGCAAAACTCCATATTTCAAGTAGAGCCTTCGCTCACTATTCTCCATCATCTGTTCATCAAACATCTCTCAAGAAACAAACAAATACCGACTTTCGCCGCTTGTTGTGATCTCTAGCGAATTATTTTACTTAAAACTGGCGTTGAAATGGGATGTACGAGTAGCAAGTCCAAGAATGATGCACATGGTCCCATGACGGGTCGCTCCAATGAGGCTAATTACTCGAATCTCGCTGTAAACATCAATAATGGCAATTTCTCAGCATCTCAGAATGTCAATCAGCCGCGTCGCTCCATGCCAGCGTCGCGCAACCAGCGTAATGGCAGTCTTGGCTCCACTCAGGCCGTCAACCGTATTGATTCGGAAAATTGTTTTCCGGAATTAGTTAAGTTTCGTCTGGACGAAAGTGAAGTTCTGCTTACTCGCAAGGTCTCGAGTGGTGCGTTTGGTGTTGTGTGGTTAGGCCATTACCATGGCCAGCCCGTAGCCGTTAAGCGTATGATCGACGGTGAGGACGAAGCCATCTCCTTTTCCCGCGAGATTGAAACCATGTCTCGATTGTCGCACCCTAAAATTGTACGCTTTATTGGTTGCACGTGGACGAACAAGAAGGACTTGGGCGGCGTTTCCGAGTACATGGATGGTGGTGACGTTCGAACATTGCTGGAAACTCGCAGGATTGAGCTCAGCTGGAAAAAAGAGAAGATTTCTATTGCAATTGATATTGCTGAGGCTCTTGCATACATGCACTCGCGTTCGCCAAAGATTATTCACCGAGATCTTAAGTCGCGAAATGTGTTGCTTAATTCTGATATGGTGGCTAAGCTGAGTGATTTCGGGCTCAGTCGTAACCGTACGTATGAAGAAACACTGACTGCAGGTGTGGGTACGGTACGATGGACTGCTCCTGAGGTTATGCTAGGTGACAATTACAGCGAGCAGGCCGATGTATACTCTTTTGGTGTGGTATTAAGCGAGCTAGACACGCGAGAGATCCCGTTTGAAGAGAAGAGCAGTAAGACAGGAGCCAGTGGCGCTCCCGATATGGCCATTGTAATTAAGGTGGCGAAGGGTGAATTACGACCAAGTTTTGCGCCTGACTGTCCAGATGTCATTTTGCGAATCGCTCGTGCTTGTCTGCAATTTGACCCGGCGCTTCGTCCAGCAAGTGAATCAATTGTGCAAATGCTCAATGATGCGCGTGTGCAGCTTCAGGCAATGTAATTATTGCTGCACGCAATATATAATCTAAAGCTTTAGCCTCTTATCTAGTTCTGACATCACTGGAGGTCGAAATTTTTGCGTTATCTGTCAAGCGTTGGAGAAAACACTTGACAAAATGGTAGACAAGCATGGACTGGAATATATTTAATGACAGAGGCGACAAGGACATACCAGCAGTTTAAGTTGAGTAGTGAATAATAACAGGGTCAATAGATACATTGTAGTTGATGTGATCGAGGATGAGCAAGATGGTGACAAGATTTCATTACTTTTGTTCGTGCCTTCGATTCCCGTGTATCTTATGCAAAATAATGGATGTATTACTGTCAGTATGCCCTAAACTGTTGTTGTTGGTTTGATGGGGGCAACATTTTATTATTTCTTGACCTTATATATTCGAACCATCCAAGCTTCCGATGTAAATACATGCTCAAAATGGTGCAGAGTGATGTCGCGTTGTGCAATCCGAAATCGACGACTCATATCCCATCCAATGTTGGGATTTTCATTTTCAGTAGTAGAACGACTCTCAACGTGACAGAATTCGAAATAGCTAAGCTTGTAAAGGACACTCTCTTGCATTGCGAGCGTCGCATTCTCGTGAAAAATGTAGCGCCCGTTCACTTGATATTCAGACTCCACCACATCGTCAGGAAACACGCCTCCTGATATCTTGACGATCCACGAAAGTTTGTCCAAGTCATCTCCTGGCATACCAACTTTTCCACCAAACAACAAGAAAACATAGTCCACGCCAAGACTATGCAAAATTGGCAAGGCACCGTCTTCACGCGACATCAGTATGCGTCCAACAGTTGCGATGTGCGTGTTGTTCCATGTATTATTGTCAACGAGCACGGTGCGATTTGCAAATGTAGTGATCTGGTATCCATAATCCCACCAGCTTAGGATTTTAGCATCTTCTGGAGTGTTCAGCCGTAGCCAAGCAAAGGCCTCACGATAGTCATCATGTACTATTTTGTCATTAGTTGTTTTGTTCATTGTCAGGAACACGAGCGAGGTCGATGAGTAAACTTTCCTGGCAATATTAAAAGAGTGGCGAAAATGCATAAAGAGGAGAAACTAAATTGATAAAAAATGAGTCGTCAATACAATAAGCTTCCTTGAAATCTTCAAACTACGTACCCCGCATGCAAAAACCAGCAGCTGAAGCGCCTTAAATTTGCGATAATTTCCTTCTTCAGCTGTTTTATTGAGTTGAAAGCGCAGTTTAACGGCAAGAGCTGACAAAATCTCATCTGCATGAGATTCGAGCGAATCTTCCTCTTTTTCAGTGAGTCCTTCAATGGTAAATTTTTCGGTCACGACATAAATTGGTGACTTGCTCTCTTCCTCTGAGTCACTTCGCGTAAATCGGATTATTCTATACATGAAGCCCGACGCTCCAACAGCCGCCATATAACAAGCTGCCGGGGCCAAAACTAGCAGCAAACGAACCATTATACCTGAAAAGTAGAACGCGAACGTGCTGTATACAATCATGAACAGGTAATTAGGGTCAAGCTTTTGAAAAGAATAGAATATTCCCAATGGAATAAAAAGCATCGCTGGTCCTAGCGAGAAGTAATAAGCCGACCACACAGTCGGTTGGTGCTCTCCTACTGATGCAATGATTGGGATATACTTCGACGCATATGTCGGATCCAGTAGCGTAAGACTACGACCACTCCATTGTAATTTCCCCCATGATATCGAAAGTGATAAGCCAATTCCAGAGATAGCTATGCCAGCCTTAGAACAAGCTCGAAAGAGTCTCATGAATTGGTCGTTTGGTAACTGAATTGATAGCCATCGCATCAATGCGTATGCTTTATGGACCAACAGCAAAACCAGAAAAATAAGCAGCTATAGAACACTACATCACAAGAATCAACTACCTTGCAAAAGTGCGAACGTTCCATGGGATCCAGCAGTTTCACCCTTGAGGACTGCGTTAAATCCAATAAACGGAATTTGCATCGCCCCCAGCGTCACCAGCGGGTAAAATGTTGAGTAAGCCACATATAATCTAGCTGAATATTGTCTTGAGAGCAATAGCACCAGCACATGGATAGGGATGATATTGATGATAAACACATACCCTCCCCATGACAGTGCCATACCACAGTACGAGATTGCAGTGAAGGCCGCCCAAAGCATTGCACCACTCTTTATGGACTTGATCCACAGATAAAATGTGAAAATCAGAAGAAAGATTGCAATGCCCTCGTTGTCAAATGAACCGGCAGTTGTGCGTGATATGTATGCGGGCGACACACTAAGTAACATAGCAGACAGCAATGCTGTCGGCATATCTCCCGTCACTTCGTGGGTCAGCAGAAACTGCGCCACACAAGCAAGTGCCGCGAATGCTGGTGCCAAAAAAACACAGGCATCTCGAGTGGAGATCGGCAGCCGCAGTACAAGCGCCAACAGCCATTGCAGACCTGCTGCGCCGGCCATAAGTCCAGGATATACTGTCGTACCTACAATGCGACCAAGAGGGTACCATGCACGGTCATCAAACCAGTCCAAGAGCTCGTAAATGCCGTACTCGGCAAGGAACTTGGTCACACGAAAGTTAAACTGTGGGTCGAACTCATGGATCACCTGGCGTTGCAGATAAGTCAAAATTGAAAGGTAAGATGTAGTTAGGCTGGTAATGAAGACGCGTACCGTTCCCCAAATCACCACCGGAAAGAGGCGAATGGCGAAGCTAAGTATGCAGATGAGCGCTAGCACCAAGTAGGTCCAGAGCAGCGACATGTGACTCACAGATTGAATGATTCACCTTCGAGCGACATGCATGACCAAGTTGAAGTGACCTGCATTCTGCTCAGCACAATTGCAGCGACTGAGCGCGGAATCAGCTATGCCTGTAACGAGAGGAAGTGCACGGTTGAAAGACGATCAGGTGGGGGAGGAGATTGAACAGGTGCCGTATCAACAAGTACCGGATACGGAAGAGGAGCAGGAGCAGGAGGAGGAAGATCACCAGACATTGACACAAACAGAAGCCATACGTGATTTAGAAGATATGGCTAAGCAATTGACGAAGACGCTCAAGCATCTGCTGACTGCGCATCGGTGTTTATTTTTGAACAGAAATTTTGCTGGTAGGGAGTTTGATGACTGACTTCATTGTGCAGACAGCTGGACAATGACGCGACCACGATTCAGGCTGGGATGGACGAGTTGCATCGCATGCAAGAGTCGGCAAGTTGCTGGTTTCAGGCTGATGGACTGATAGAATTTTTAATCTGACGTTTAACGTGGCTTACTGATCTATTTAGCGGGCCGAGCACATTGTTGAGCGATTGAAGAATGCCAGTTCGACAATTCTTGCGTTTAGTGACGTAAGCTCAGAGGAACGCCCCGAGGGCGAGGGAGACGGCGATGAAGAAGATTAAAATTAGCAGGTAGCACCTGAAAATAAGTGGTTTCGACCCGGACGTATATTTTTCGTCGTTGTACATACCAGCAGTAGTATTGAATCGTCATTTGCCTGCTCTTGGACAACCAGGCAAACAAGCTCTAATCAGATGCCCTAGCAGGCCCTATCGGCATGACGCCAGTGTATCCTGGCGCTGACAAGCCTGCCAGTCTAAAAATAAGCACTTTGCTGAAGATTTACGCACAAAGCACTTAATTAGTCGCGAAGAGCTCTTGATCAAACTCACTGTTTTAATGAGTCAAGATCGTCCACTTCTTGCAAATACAGACTTTTGTCCATCACTGCTGCTGCCATGTCAACGGTTGGTGTGAAGTCTTTTAACTCACTGTTGTCTTCCTCGTCACTGTGAACGAAATGAACTTCGTCATCAGCATCAGCATCGTCACGGAACAGTGTTGGATCGTATGTGAACAGCGCACGACCACTCACTGCAACACATTTCGATAAAATTGTTAAGGCATTTAGATTTATTAAAGCAAATGAAATTGATACAAACGTACTGATGCCACGACCACCAGTTCTTTTTGCCTGCTCTTTCAATTTCTTCGCCTCCTCTGCTTTCTTGCGAGCCTGCTTGTCGGCCTTCCATTTCGCAAGTGTTTCCTCCGTGACAGGAGTGCCGCCATTGGGGCCTAACTTTGCGCGCTGTTGCTCAATTATTTCTTCTATTGAAATCTCTATGACTTTGTTATTTTTCTCGAGCTCACGGTCCTTTTTAGACTTAAATACATAACCAGGAGGAAGTGCATGACGGTATCTGCTCCAAAAATCGACGGCAATATATTAATTGAAGCTGCGGTGTGAGAAATTTTTCGATTGCATACTTGCATGACGCGCCACCATTCGGGCAAACCCAGAACCAGCCGTAGAGCGACTTCTCAATAGCATCCAAGAAGTGCTTACATACAATTTCTGTCTGCTTTGAGTTCTTCTCATGATGCTTCTCGTTCACAACTTTCTCGAGCTTTTCCTGATCCCACGTGTCGATTTGATCTGACGGACACCAGTGCGACATCGAACATATGATATAAGCTTAAAAGCAACACATTGGTAGTTTTCATTTCGTACGGCTACCGTACCTGCTTCTTTCTCAGCACGATTGTCCGTGTACAAATCAATTTTAGCTGCTTTTTTCTCCACCATCATGTCATGTGAGAACTTGCAACGGTTGCCCTATGAGAACAATTAATCACTAAAAGCTCGCATCTACAAGTTAGCAGTATCAACAACTCACTTTAGAGCAAACACCAGCTTTAAAAAAAGCGCAAAGCAACGACTTGGGATCTGTTCCAGGAGGAACCTAAACAGCAAGAAAATAAAATAACGTGTATGATGCTTCAATGATCTTGTTACAATTATAGCGGAAAAGAACGTATACCTTTGGCTGCTGTATCGAGGCAGCAAAAAGACTTTTAAGGGTTTCCTGCTCGGCCATAGCGTCCTTCTTCTTTTTGGCCTCCTGCTCTTTAATGCGATCGGCGCGTGTGTTGCCACCCTTGACCTGTTTTGTCACTTCCTGGATATATTTCTGCACATTCTTGCTCTTCTTTTTGTTCTTGAGGCCAAAAGTCTTGTCTTCTAAAGTCTTTTCCTTCTGCTTCTCGATTGACTTTTTGGAAGGACCTCCTGCCTTTTTCTTCGGGGGCATCTCGTCAGCTCAGACTTTCCTGGCTGATAGACTCTCGTGGAAACGTCGCCCTGTGATTGGCTAATTTAGTGGTTTGAAAAATAATGTGGACCCGACATAATTGCTGACAAGGCTCGTCGTTCTGAAACACACTCCATAACAGCTCATCACTAGCGTTGATTTCAATATCGAGGTATGAATGGCTATTTTCACTAGTTGCAAGTATCACAGATGTGGAGTGCTATGGTAAGCAACGATTCTTCGTCCTTATTGCTGCACAGTCTCACTTCTGAGCCTACTGCGACGTCAATTACTTAAGATCGCCCTTTCAATGGCTATAATTATGACAATAAGTGACACTGTCAATTGCTATCGCTTCGATATTCCAAACTATTCGCGCAAAACGCGGCCGGAAGTATCTTTTGTTTTTCGGGTAGCTAGCTAAGTGGTCGCGATAGACACCTTCGATGGCAAATGACGCACTTGTATCCACTGTGGCGCTATTTTCGACTAGACGGTTGGATTCGTCAATTGTCCAATGTAGAAGGTCTAAGAAAAAAAACTTCAAGTGGTCTAATAGCTTACGCATGAGTAGATTTTCTCAACCAAAGCACGACTTTTTATTACTTGCAGCCGGCCAACTGAGACGAAATGCAAGCAAGAGCTCGAGAAGCGACAAAGCGCCGCAGAGAAACCAACGCTTAAAATTTAGTCATTTTTGATTTCGTAATGCCGTCGAGCAGTACAGAGCGCAATTCTACACGAGATAAGTTACATTTGCCGGGATCGAATGTTTGAATGCCTAAATTTTCTGGGCCAGTGACACTTCATCATAATTTTACCAAGGTTTTGTCCGAAACTCCTACATGTAAGATCTCTGGTTCAGCTTCTTAGTTTTTTCATATCATATCTGAATAGGGGTGATCCATGTATTTACACAATAAAGTGTCTTCGTCATTTCATTAAGTTCTCGTACACGCAACGTTATTAAAAGCAGATAAAAATTAGTTTGGGCATTTATCTCAAACGTGTTCATGTCAGGTATAAGACATACGGGCCGGGTATACGATTCGTACGTGTCAGGGTCTGCTATCACTGCTGCTGTTCAAAAAGCTTGCGAGCCTGTTCACTGCTTGTTGCTTGCAAAGGATTTTTGTCAGACCGATATCGAACAAAGCGTGGAAAGCGTAGTGCTAGCCCCTTTTGAGGAAGAAATGGTGTTGGATCAACAGTCTTCTCACTTGAAACATTAGCGCCGCAAGTATAAGAAGAAGATTCTGTCAATTGAGTGGCTTTAATCTCCCACACTTCTTCCGGTGACAGCCAGAAATCAGGATGTTGACTTCGAACAGCTAAGGATTGATACTGTTCTGGTACACGATCCAATTTTGGTAAAATTCGCTTTCGAAACCGTATACTTATTTCAGACAGTTGAGCATCTGAAAAGCCCGAGCCGACTTTTCCAATCGTCTGCAAGGTAGCAGATTATGAATAATGAGCTTTCGTTTCTACATCGACTTGCATTACAAATTACCTCGAACTTTTCGCTAGTCGTGTTGTACGTCGCCATTAGAAAAGATCCAAATACTCCTGCACGTCGACCTTTCCCGTGAAATACCCCAATTGGAACCAGATCTAGTGTGTCAGCAAGAAAGGTACCGTTGCCGGAAGTAGTCGCGGCAGCTGATTTGTTTTCTGTTCGAGTGCTCGTGGGCGTCTCATTCGATAAGTAATCCCGTTTAAGCTTCATCCACGAATATGATCGCCGGCCAGCTCTATACACTGATTCTTCGCCATCCAGGATTTTGATCATCAATCCTTCACAGCCGCTCGCCACCGCTCGCTCAAGAACATCACGCATAGCTAAAGCTTCATTATTCTTATTACCATCTACAGGCACAGCTTCATGTGTCATGTCTATGTCGACGTATTTCACAAATTCGAGATGACCCAACTCTTCATCGACCAAATTTTGTAGCAACCTTCGTCGCTCACGAAGCGGTTTCTAAGACAGCAACAAAATGCTGTAAGCTTCAATTTTCTAATTAAATGACAAAATTCACATGTACCTGAAGAAGATTTGTATGGTCGATGGCCAGCAAGTCGAATAGAAACAAACAGAACTCGGTCGTAGTCTTTGTCTGCAGCATTTGAAACGGGAGAAATGTACCTGTCGTTCGATCAATTGCAACAACCTCCCCCTCTACAATAAACGATGTCACGTGAGAAAGCGATTGCAACGCTGCATCGCGAGCTTTCAAACGCCTCTCAAGCACGTGCAGAAGCGATGAATATCTCTCGGTGACGTCTTCCATATTGCGACTGAAAATACGACCGACCGATCCTGATTGGACACTGCTGTTCGGTAAAGTTAAATGCACCTGCAACCGTGCGCCATCATACTTATACTCGCAGGTAGCAGTGCGACTTAAAGTCTTCCTCACACGATTAAGCACCGACGAAACGCTGGATTCTGGGTATGCAGACATCGTCAGCACTGGTACACCTGATGTCGGATGAGCTTCATCATACAGCCACGCCATTCTCTGAACAATGTCTTTTTCATGCTGACTCACGTGCACCAACTCCGCCAGCTTGTGATAGTTTGGATGTTGAGCGTAGGCAACGGTGATACAGTCAATCCACTCCGTTTTTCCTCGTGATGCTAAATCATCAACATTTGACGGAAAGCTCGCTAATGCAAGTGCCGAGAGAATAGATTTTTCACCCATTCCGATGCGTAAGTTTTGATGCTGAGATAACACATCACGCAGTTTTTGTTAGAAAATTATTTGTCAAGGCGAAAATAGCAGTGACCCTAACTGCCAGCATGCGGACGATAAAGATTCGCTCTTCAGGACATCTATGCTTCATACACAGCGATGTTAGCACATAATTGAGAAAATCAATTCCATTCTGGACACTACAAGCAGCCGTACCTACACTGCTGCAGCAATTTCAAGGCGAGCTGTTGCTTTCTAGCAGCTCCACCAAGTCCTTCGTCTGTTGCTATAGCCATTAGCTGGTCATGAACTGTTTGTATACTCAACGGTTGCCCTCTATCATCGTGCTCCGGTACCACAATGCGCCCACTATCCAGCAACGCCTGCGTAGCCAATCCATAGTCCGAATATGAAGCCAAAAAGGTCTCCAACGTCTGGTTTGTTTCCAGTTCTGTCCACTGTTCAGCTAAAAGCTGTTTCAAAAGCCTTTTGAAGCTTTGAGCTCCAAAACGAAGCTCTACGCCATCATACGGAGGCGCCAGCTGCGATGCCGTGAGGTGCAAAGCACTAGCCAACGCTTGAGGCATCGGAAGCGCTAATAAATCTCGGTACCCATCGGCCAGCCGTAAAACGCTCTCCAAGCGCGAGCTTTTTACTTCCTACATACCAAGCAGTATAATTTTTAGAGGCTGAAAGAAGGTACATACAGAAGGGTGCAAGAAGTGAACCTCGATCGAGGAGAAAATGCGCGCTAGTGCGTCAAAAGAACCAAACTCGCGACAATTAGGGAGTTTATGAGAATCTGAAGTTGAAATTGTTGATAAATGACATCTAGAGGTAGCTATTGCATCCCAAGGAAGAAGGAAACAACGTCTAAGCGCAAGGGTGTAAAGTCTCGCGCGAGTCCATCCACGGCGTGGCAGCACCAGCATCTTGGTTATAAATGTACTTATTTAATTAACACTTGCTGATAGAATCGCAATAGCCTCGTCTCATGAATTATGTATGATCACCTAAACACCAGTAGATCCTTTAAGCGCTCGCGTCGCTTCTTGATCTATCAAAATGTATTCAGCTCGCGAAAGAGCCGACGAGATGCACTCAAGCTGGTTACTATGGGCGTTAGTGAGGTCGGCCATCTTGTGTTGCCGCTCTGCTAAAATCTGTTGAGTACTGATAGTTTTGTCGAGCAAATCTAGTAGAAGCTGCTCATCTTGATTTGCTGGTGGGGTTTCGCGTAGTGGTACAAGCGCGGTACAATTCCTCTCTACGAGGAGCTTGCCGGCCCTGTTGCCGCCAGAGAAATCAGTGTTTCTGTTTGAATTGGTCGTGGTGGTTGTCGCTTCCTTTTGGTCAGATGTTCCCCCGAGCACATTATCACAGCTATCAATGAGCGTGGTTTCGTATTGCCTTCTTTGATTAACAGATCGCTTTTGATTTTGCACTGCTGATGGTTTCGAAAAGGTCTTTTTCACACCAGGAAGATGAAAGAATTGGGTCATAGTCAATTTTTGATTGATTCGTCGGAGCAAGTCAAGGCTAAGATTAAGATCTTGTGTTTGGTTCTGAATTTGCTGCGCAGTGATACAAGACACATTGGCGGTGCTGCGCTCGTTGCCATGTTCACTGGGTGCAACAAACCATCCGAAGATAAATCCACTCTCACTACTATTATCCTCGAAAATGCCAGTTGCCACGACCATGTTACCACCACCACGATGCTCGCGGTGATGTGTCACGATTTGAAAACTATTATATCGTGTAGCACGATAACTCGGGTGCAACGTGACGCAATCGACCCATGTCTGCCCACTCAGCTCACGTCGGTTTGATACATGTGAGAAGAGATGTTGATACAAGAAAGCGTTATTATAGTCTAAGAGCTCGGTGACGACGCTAGAGCAGTCAGCTGCTACCATCATGACACTTCTTGTGAATCTCTTGCCGGAGCGGAAGAGTTCAAAAGATTGGATCGTTCCATTGATGCTCAATTCAGGCAAGATAGTAAGCTCGATCCATGCACTCTTCTGCAATTGGAAAAAGTAATCAATTGTCGCAATTATCTTGCCCGCATGCTGATTTGCCACGTTCAATGATTGGCGTGTTGCGTCGTAGTCATGTCCCTGAATGATAGACACGGTGTGCTGTGACGAAGGCAACAACTTCAAGTCAAAAAATGACGCTGCATTGTCTGAATTCGTTTGTGGTCGATATGAGAAGCCTGCGATTTCTCTTGCTTGAGCTGTCGTGCAATCTGCTGCTACTCGATGCTCGAGTACCTCAGAAACAATGCTAGCTACCGCTTCAAGCGTGGATATCATTGAGCCTGTTGGATGTGAGTGAGGCTTCGTGTCAAAAGCGCACACTACTCCCATCAAATGGCCTCGTACGCAAATGGGTGTACCAGCATAGAAACGCAAGGAGCGATTTCCACAGGCTAAACCTCCTTTGTGAAAACAGGTATCGGTGCAAGGGTCCACTATCACTGTCGATTTTTGTAAGAGAATGTTAGGACTCAAACAGCCATCTTTTGGGATGTGTGTGACGTTATCATCAATACCCATACTGGCTTTGATACAAAGGAATGTATCATCGGTGACACCAATAAAAGCACCAGGGCACTTCAGCGTCCGTGCTACAACACTCACAAGCAACTTCATGGTCGGATCGACTTTTGTCGACCGAGTTCGCGATTTTCCAGCCTCGTTCAGATTTGCGATCTCGTGCACTGCCTTAGGGTGCGACCCCTTACTTTCGTGCACATGCTCCAAGTTTGCACTGAATTGTTTGTGACGTCGATTGAGGGGCGACTCGAGACTTAGTATCGATACAGCGGGAATGATATCTTGACTGTTCTCACTAGTTGCCGCCTCATTTGCTTTATTTGAAGCATCTGTGGCGCGGATAATGCAAAACGTGCAGACTCGAGTTTCGCACTCTACGTTTATATCGGTGAGTCGAACGGTGTGTTGGCTTGAGCAGCCAGCACACACGACTTCACCGCACGTTCGGCAGTGGTGTCGTCGTCGAAAAGGCTGAAACTGTTGTATGCACACGCTGCAATGTGTTCGCAAGTCATTATTCACCCAAGAATGGGTCTGTAGGAGGTTACTTACCATGAGCAATCCCCCTTCCAATATGTACATTGTTTGAATTGCCTGCTTTTTGGCTTTGCCCTCGCTCTCGTGATGCATTAGAATCTCTGGATTTTCAAGTGACGTCAACAGTGAGTATATTGTCCGTTATCGTCGAATGTTGTAGTACTCAAGTGAGTTAGGAGCGCGTAGTGTGTTTAGCTGAATTTGCTCCAAACGTCGCTTTGGTGTGGAGTTGCCAGTTCAAGAAGTCAAGCCGTGCGTTCGACAAAAATAAGCAGAGTTTCCACATGCGACTCTTTTCACCGCGCAATGATCTCGAATAATCACAGATCGCCTTACCCTCTTGTCAGCAATGTTATTCTAGTATGCAATACAGACGTACACTATAACAGCATATCTTCTTTGATGGAGCAACCTTCTACTCAGATCACGCACGACATCGTTGTACAGCATTCCGAGATTAAATGCATTTACCAGGACATTGTCAGTCGCGCTTTGAAGCATTAATTTCATATAATGTTGCTGAACCCAATCTACGTTGCTCACAATACTTTCGCCTGGACTATTATCAATCAAAGAGCAAACTAATTTGGACATATGCATGTCAACATTAGTTACTTTACCACATACAATATGTAAATATAAGTAAATTACAAATCGTTCGATTGCCTAATGAGCACAATACATGCAGCAATTTGAGCAAGATGCGTTGTGTGGTGGTGGTAAAATGCTGTAAGATAATTAGTGGTTAGTATCCCACCTCTTTCTTCGGGGTTACATGTAACGGGGTTACACGTACCCAGGTATGAAGGGGTGAACTTTCACAAGACGGTGTAATCACACAATAGTGTGTCTACAACTTAACAAGAAGTCAGCAACATGGCTGGACTACCAGTAGTTCTTTATTTAATATATCAATTGAAAAATACATATATTTAGATACAGGTGGTTGTGCTGCAAATAAAACCCAGAGATACAGTTTAGATTATAAGCGGAAGAGTTAATTAGCCTTAGGTTAAGGTTATAGTTACTCTTGGAGTAAGCGGATTGCGATTCGCTACACTCGTATTGCTTCTAAGTATAGAACGAAGGTCACCGACCTTGGCTTAGCTTTCTCTAAGTGAAAGAGCTACGGCAGCCCCGCTGTAGGGTACAATCACTTTCAAACGTACAGAGCTATAATTACGATACTATATCACGGAGCTTCACTATGATTCCTGTAAGCTTTGCATCCAATCCAAGGGTCACTAGTGTAACGTGCATGCGCATTCACCATCATGGGGTGCGTACCGCATTATGCCCTCCGACATAAAAAAAGAGTTCCACTAGGGTCGATGCATTCCTGAGACGGCGCACTCTCAGTCAATGCTCTACAAGCACCCACAAGATTTCGCCTCCCACTCGTGCACAGGATTTCGAGCCTTTTTCATCCATCAAGCACATTGCTCGATGAGTTACAAGGAAAGAAGAACTGCAGCGGGGCTGCCGTAGTTTTTTCGCTTAAAGGAAGCGACGCTTAGGTCGTTAACCTTCGTTCTATACTTAGAGGCAGTACGAGAGTAGCGGATCGCAATCCGCTTACTCCAAGAGCAACTACAACCTCAAGCCAAGGCTAATTAAATCTTCCGTTTAAAATGTAAGCTGTATTCCTCGGGTTTATTCGCGGCAAACCCGCCTATATCTCAAACTATAGGCTATCTATATAGTAAAACCTAATAAACTGTATAACTATTGGCTGTTCCAGCCACGTTCCGACTTGTTGTTTAGCCACACATTGTATGGTCACATGAACCACACTCTTCATACCAGGGCACGTGAAACCCCGTTACAAGAGGACGGCGAGGGATATTCTGATGAGAATGGCCACAGTACCTCACGGATCTTTGGCTCATAATATGCACCTTCACCAAAGACTATACGGCCATGCAGCACCGTCCCAAAAAAGCTCGCTTGGGTCTTGACTTCTGCCCTTCCCGCAAAGATCGATGAAGTCATAACACTTTGCTGCAGGACTTACGAAGAGCACTAGCCAAACGTAACATGAAAATTGCTCTAATTTTGTGTTTCGGACATAATACCATTGCATTATCTACCATACCGTACGATTGAAATATATGTCAAATTGCGATCGACATTTTTGTAGTTACTCAAAAGAAATGGAATATTAGTATTATGAGCATGGAGAAACTCCAAAAAGAAGGGATCCAAGGTAAACGTGGGCAACAAAATAAATAAAGTTTACATTTCATTAAGAAATATTTTTTCGTATTAGTCTAGTTATAAAATATTTATGTACTCTTGCAATAGCAGAACAAACAAGTTACTTAACTAAGGGGCTCTCGGTTCCGTTGTACATATTACACTTGAAGTCAATCCCACGATCAAGTCGTGAAAAAATCGTATCCCCGCGAGGATGAAGCATAAAATAACTGTCCGAAACGAACAGACTAGCTTAACTAGCTTTTGTTTACCTTAGGTCCGGCAGGAACAGAACATATGTGGTCGAAGGGCTTAATGCGGTTAACGCTCAGTTGGAGGCGCTCATCAGTTTTAAGAATGCGGTGATAAGGCGCGTACAGGACCGCCCCATCCAGTGCCCGATGGAAGAACACATTGTTGCCACCGTAGGACAGCTGATGTTAAGAGTCCGAGCCTTTGACCGCCGGGTCGGACGATCTTTTCCTCTGGATAAGAGAAGCTGATCTGTCCATAGATTTGACCTTGCTTCAAATGAAACTAAAGCGCGTCACGCTTGCGATTTTTAAGCGAAGAGGTCGTGAGCGATGATTGACACGAACGTGTACTACTTCGGTAAAAGAGGCGTTTCAAAGGTTGTATAACATCAAGCAACAAATCGCGAGCGTGTTCGCACCGCCTGGTCAGACGTATTGAATGTGCTCGGAGTTCTTGTCTATCGGTCAAGTGGTAAACTATGCCCGAGAACCTAGAACCCTTATCGCCGCAAATGCGTTGGACTCTCTGTCAGAGGCACTGACGGTTACCATCTTCATAGACGCTCTCCGAGCGCGTGTGACCCGCACTTAGACATTTTCGCGTTCATTCTATTTTTAAAAAAAATGCGATGTGCGTCGCATTCAGTGCGGAATAAAATCGCCATGCCGCGAAGGCTAGAGGAATGTAATCTCTCCGAACCCTCCCGAAGTGATAATGGACCTGACTCATGCTGAGTAGGAGGCGCAAAATGTCGAAGCTTCCCGGTACTTACGAGGGATGTTTTATCTGCTGTAGAACAAAACATGTGCGCATTGCATTTTGCTGTCGGCTAAAAGGATAAAAGAATTGGTCCTTAATGCAAGGGCGGATGACGAACTCCGGCGAGGGAACGTCACATCTCAGATGGTGCAGGGTGGCCTACTCTTTCAGATGGATTTTGTTGTACCTCGTGGAACCGTAAGCAATGCGACCCAGCTTTGAAATGTGAGACTTCCTGTAATGGGTTAAACACAGCCATTATATGAAGGCACGTCTAAATGTTCTGCGTGCATTGCGATATTTTATAACAAAGGAATTACAGTATGGTGTCCCATATACACATGTGACATCTTCTATGTAGTCATTGACATTCTGTGTGCTAAAGAACCTACACTGGTGACGATGCCGACGTGTCTTTGTCTTTCGAAGTGACTGGCGTAAGCCAATCACTTATGCTGGTATTTTCCACGGAGGTTCAAGTTGAAGCTATTCGAGTTTTGAACTCCGTACACCCAAAATGATTTTGCTGAGGCTCAAAATTAGTGTTTTTTTGACTGTATAAATTAGATTAATAGGAAAGTAAGGTGTTATTTGCTAAACCCCTGGAAGCCCTTGGGGTGTTTTGCATGTCACTCTGGGAGCCATTATTTTAGTTGCAAATCTGCCTTCGAGGCCTAAGTTGTTCTGTTGCCCTCCAAGTCGGGACTGTCCTTTTCTCTTCACGTCAGAAGCGCTCATTCGTTGCACAAGTTTTTGTGTTGTGTTTGAGGGACTGTAGTGAACAGCGCCATGGACTCTGTGTCCGCTGGTGCGCTCTCAGTTATGGTTGTCATGTAGATCCGGCAAAGGTCGGGGGCACAGTGTATAGGCCAGTGCCTCTATTCCAAAGGGATTTCCGGAATTGGCTCGGCCGATAAAAACGAGCGCAATTCGTTTTTTAAAAATGGAGTGAAAATTTCGTTTAGCCTGTTGTTGCTATACATCACCACCATATATCACTGCATTTTTGATAGCTGCGAGGCCACTCTAACAGACTAAAGATCTATTGCTAACGAACATCATTTCATTTGATGTAGATTGCTTTGTTGGTGATGCGTACGTCTAAAGGACACGAATGCAGCAAGGCAGTGATAATTTGGTTTAGCCCCTTACTTGCGTTTATTTGTTGTGTTTCATAGCGAAATTCTAAGTTACTATTGTTTTTGCTAATACATAGATAAAAATCTCAACACATTCTAATACTGCTTTACAAAATTGACCTCAAAAACTGCTTCTTGGATGGAAATCAAGACGACTGCTGTGCTGTCGCTCAATGGACAAGCCCAAGTTACCTTAAGTGTCGACATTAATGGGGATGTGGAGCAAAAACAGAGTGCGAATTCCCCTGCATTAATTGGTGAAGCGACGTTGGAGCTGATGAAACTGTTGGGTTCGCTTGTGCGGCTGCGCATCTCGGACGGTAGGGTTATCATTGGCCGCTTTCACTGTTTCGACAAGCATCAGAACGTGATTCTTAGAGACGCACGCGAGTTTGCACCAACGTATACGGGAGTCGGGAAGAACAGCAAGGAAAAGACTATAGTGCGTGATGCGGAGGAAGACGCGCGTTTTGCTGGCGACATGGTGCCACCCAATAGTCGCGCACTCGGCATGGCCCTTGTACCGGGCAAGCACATAGTTTATATGAAAGTGCAGAGTTAAGGTGTAATGAGGAAAGCCATTTGTTGCTTCAAACGCAGCATCAAATATCCGTCTTTCTATTACAATCGGTTGTCTTCGAGAAGCTGCGCTTCCTTTTCGTCGATCAAAGTGTCGACATTGGTGATCATTTCTTCGACCAAACGACAGATCATTCTAGCGTCATCCGTGGAGCTGTCAGCCACTGGTGTATTTTCCTGCGGACGTAGGATAAACTCGGTAAAGTGGTGCGCGAGTCTTGCTGCGTCCATTCCGTTCTTAGATGAGTAGACATTGACGTCGTTGAGGTGGAAAAGCAGGCAAGCTAGCATGGTACTGCAGCGTAAGTGAAATATGAATAATCCATCAGTGGTTTTGAAGGTAAACTCATTCGATGCAAAACTTACAGGTTTTTCTTGGGCAGAGCTTCAATTAGTGTTTGGAGATTCCGTTGTGAGTCAAAAGGGGCATATTGTGCCTCACGTGCAAGTGTTACGAATTCGTCGAACATGGTATAAGGAATTAGAGGCTGCTCTTGCTGCTTTAACCATAGCCGTACAATAGCACCGGCAGTTGTAGCATCCAGCAGCTCTTCCAGCTCATCCTTAGTCGGTTTTCGTGTCACAGACTCGCTGGAAAATTCATTTAAGAAATCGAGAGCAGCCTAAACAAACGGATGAACAAACTGAAAAAAAAGATAAAACACGGATTTTACGCTTCACCTTCAGCTTTGCAGTATTTGGTTTCACTTCGTAAAAACGTTCAGTCTCAATGCCAGGAGTCGAGTCATAGATAAAATTAATGGCGTAGATAGTTGCCTTTGGTACCAGCTCCTCAGGGCGTAAGAGCACCGATAACTCCGTTTCTAAAGTAGAAGATTGCTGCCGTGCAACGGTTCGAGACCTTCTTGCTCTACCGCTTGCACTTGTTGCGGATATAACGCTAGTATTTTCAGCAGGTGAGTCTATGTCTGGACGTGGACTATTGGCACTTCGTATGAGTAGCGAATCCAACATATTAACCCACATCACCGTGACTTGAGGTGAGTCAGATACGAGACTGTACACACGCGATGACTTTGGAGTGCCACTCTTTTCTTGCTTGGTAGATGTCGAAGTTGGTTTTTCAGAATTTGAGTTCGGAGCAGCTTGGTTGCTAGCGTTAGCGTTTTCTTCGTCGGAGGATACATAGTCATCGGCATAATGTGTCCCCCAGGTATTGCGGCATGTGATGTCAAAGCGACATCCTTTGTACTTTGGGTGGCTTAGTTTACCAATACGTTGGATAAGCCGCAACGAAATTGATCCGATCTCACCAAGTGGAATTGGACCCCAAGCAGATTGAACGACATCAGCATAATACCGCACCTCATTTAGCTTTGCATAGAGCACAAAATAGCGCGAATTCCATTTCTTAAGCCCCTTAATACCACGTCGTTGTTTCTGTCGCAGCCATCCTTCCAGCAATACCCCACTGCCAGGCCTTCCCGGAAACGCCCCAGGTACTTTGCGCAAACCAGGGCTCACAACTTCCTCAGCGCTGTTGGCAGTAACTCGGGGAGAACCGCCATATTCGGAGCCACTAGCGGAGTGCTTCAAGCGATCTGTGCGTCGATTTATAATGACTGCGGGTGAACTCCCCGCACCTCCCGTCTGCACCTCTGTGGGTCGTCCTCCCCTCGTACTGATTGTAACGGAAGGTTTCGATGTCGAGTGCTCTGTAGTTAAAGGTGCGTCTCTTTTGCTCTTAGTTTTCGCTTCAGCCGGACTATTAGTGGCCGATGGACCTAAGTCTTTCGTCATATTTTTTTTCTCTTTCCAACCAAATGGCGACATTACCTTTGTCTTTGTAATCAGTTTTAACATGTTTGTATTCTTTGCTCCATTTCCTGTAGCAGAAGCTTCACCTGCTTCTTTACTGATGTCAGAATCCCAATCACTCTCTCTCTCTTTGCGAATTTTCAGTCGATTAAGTTTTTGGGGGACTTGCAACTTGGATCTTAACCGAGATTTTTCCTTTTTATTTTGATGTGGATGTACCACTGACCCAGCAATATACGCGTCCAGATCCGAATCCTCTTCTGTGCTCTCAATTTTCAAATGATTTTTCTTACTTTCCTCCTCCTCTTCATCTGAGTCGCTGTACCATTTTCTTCCTGTGCTTTTCTTTGTTGACGACGAATTGCGAAGATTTCGGCTTCTAGCCAATGTTCCAGAAGTCTTCTTTAACACATGCAGTCCTTTCAGCGGCTCTATCTTGGTCTTTGCATTCATCACCGCATCCTCACGCTTCGCTACATCACGACGTTCACTGTTCGAGCTTCGCCAATTACCTGCAACATTTTCTGTTTTCCCTCCTTCCGATGCACTCGAAGATCGCAAGGAACTGACGTCGCTATCGTTCGACCGTGTTGTTGTCAACTTCTTTCCTATGTTGCGTCGAATGTTTCCTCCCAAAGGTGAGCCGTCGTCCGAGCTGTCACTAAGCATTTCACCTACGCGATCATCATTCCCATCTTTAGCAACAGTAACACCGTTACCTTGACGGATCCGCGAGCCGAACACAGTCGTCATTTGTTATTGAAGCTAAAGGATCGATCAAAGGAAACATCTTTGAGAGGGGGTTTTATGTACAAAATCACCACGAAAACCACATAACTTGAAGTAGTTCAAGTTTGCGAAAGTGTCGTTCTCCACCAAGAAGATCGAATTTGCAATAAATAATTTTTATTATTTATACGTAAACCGTTTGACTACACAAATTAATTGAAATAGGCGACTAAGATGGCATAGAGTGCTGGGCTGTGTGTAAACCCTAACTGCACAAATGACGCGAACAATGCTTTATCGATATCTCGACGACATCGTCTGCACAAAGGTTTGGTTTGACAGACCTATACGGTCATTTTGGAAAATTTGGCAATCTGCCTATTTAATTTTTGAGCTAAAAATTTTGCTTTAAGTACACACTGCATTTAAAGCTATTTGTCTGTGTCATTCTTAAAAGACATGAACTTAATTTGGCATTTTATTTATAGGTAAGTTTTTTTTGTACAAAATAGAGTAATAAAACCACGTCGAAAACTAATAGTAGTAACGGTAGAAAAACGCTATAAAAAGTAAGCATTTTTCTTTATGTACAAAATCCCAGTTGTTCAAGGAAGCAAGGTATATCAGGTATCGCACAACTGCATCTTGGTCACATGTGTAAAACTGGTCGAGTCTTCGTAGGAAAACACATGTACTAACATTACATTCCATTCTTAAACAAAGTATTTGAAAATATCCCAAATGGTTATTTTGAGATTGCTCAAACAAAATGTGTTTCGGTACAAGATGCCATTCGATTTTAGATTGGATAAAAAATACTCTATCGACTAAGGTAGTCAAATTCATCAGTCATTCCGCTCTTCATCGTTCAAAAAAGAAACGTTCACCAGCCCGACGGCCGCTTTCGGCCTCGAGTGCTCACTGCACGTCTCATGCCTTATGTCATCCACCAATGATCCACCGCATGAAAATTCGCGTCCTCCATCGATTTTGCTTCCGCTAAACTCGCGTAAAAGTGATTTTACCACAGGCTCATCTATCTCGTCCGTAGTGCCAGAGCTGCGTGCACCATTGAACACGTCAGTCGATAGTGATGCAAACACTACCAATGAACTGAAACGCTACGATGCTGAAAACGTCAAGAAATCAAGTCGAAAAATTAATTGGTGGAAACGCATTACAGTCATGACAAGTAAAAGACAACGGAAGGAAGGCCGAGTGGATGGATGCATTTCTGACCAAGAAGTATATGTGAGGAACATGCTCGATTCCTTTATGTCATCCATGAGCTCTAAAGACAGAATCTCGACCAATTTTTTTGTGGACGATAGCAACAGCAGTAGCAGCAGTAGCAGCAGTAGCAGCAGTAGCAGCAGTAGCAGCAGTAGTACGATGAGTAGCGAACAAAACTCCAAAAGACAACGAGAGGTACCTATGATAATGACAGAGAGTGCTACTACGACAAATTCTACTACGGCAACAACAAACAGAGCGAGTACCACGAAAGTGATAAAAAAGAATGTCAAAAACGTAGACTCTCCCGCATACATGGCACAATTTACACCCAATGATTGCGCCCCACAGGAAGAACATCATTTAGATGTGAAATTCACGACTCGAGAAACTCGTGCAGCAGGCGCAACTGGCATCAGCAGCAATTCTAGTAGTGAATTGTATGACGATCTTCTGGATGATAGGCTGTTTGCGTCCCCTCTGATTCATGACGATATAAACAAGAGGCTGCAGCGACACATGAAGGCTGAAGCTATGCACGCTCGGTCGTTGGAGAAGAATCGCCAACGAACTAAAGCACGCAAGAAGATAGGCATGTTCATTTTCTGTATTGGAGTCATATTGATTGCATTCATTGTGGTCTCAGTATGGATTGCTAAAGTTGGTGTCAAAACTCAGGACAAGTTGATCAAAAGCAACAATAATGCAAAAGTATTAATAAGTAGCAGCGGGAGTGGCAACAGCTTAGAAGGTTCTTCTGGTAGCATGGGATCCGAGGCAGATTTGATACTTGACTCATCTTCATACACGTACGTCCACTGTGTTCTAATGATTTTATCACTGTGGATGTCTCTCGTCGTGGTAATTATGCATATGACATTTCGTAGCTTTCGGACATACTCACTTCCCTTTGTAATGGAGCTGAGCTGTTTGCAATGTGGGTATTGGACCACATCTTTGCTACGAGTAATGCTCGAGGCTTCTTCCTTGCCGAAGATGGCATACGTCTTTCTCTGCATGTTTGAGTGTTTCTTCACATTTGCATTGATCTCGTTCGCGTGCACCACGGCTTATTATATGTACCGATCGGTGGTGTCATATGTAGACGTTATTATGGATTCGCACAGTGTTAAGTCCCGCCACCGCCGGTGCACAATAAATGTGCTGCTGCTCTCCTTTGCCATTTCGATTTTATTAGCGCTAGTTGGTACCCGATTCAAAGATCGTCATAATTCGTCAAGCTTAGTATTTGCGGGCGAAGAAAAGATTTTGGACGAGGAATCGATTTCACCTTGTCTTAACTCAAAATGCCGTCAGATATTGTACGTGTATTTTCCGCTACTGGCGTTTGCCTTCGTCTTTATATTTTACGTGCGCTTAAAAGTAATCATCGGTAAATCATATCCGACATCAGCTATCGGGCGACTGGACAAGGTGGTGCAATCGTACTTGATCGTTTTTGTCGTATGTTATGGAAATCTTATTGTCCTCACAGCGCTACAAACGTCGACTTCGTGGAGCGTTCCGCCTGCTGCATTATTTATGATGCAGTACATTTTCGATGTGGTAGGAGTGTGCATGGCTGTTTTCACTTTCATGAACTTCCACCGTTGCAGAAAAGCGTTTGACTTTGGGTTGCCGCTCAAATCCATCGATCCAAGCAGTATCGAGTTTGATGATCCTGCTAACATTATTGGTGAAGGAACTTTTGCCATTGTACTGAAGGCAAGTTGGCGACAAGGAGGACATGGGGATTATTTGGCATCACAATCGATCGAAGTGGCTGTCAAAACTTTCAAGCATGCGCAAATTGAATATTTGGAACATGTGAAGGAGGAAGCTTACTTGTCGTCAAAGCTGGTCCATCCTTGCATTATGATGACGTACGGGTGTTTTACAAATGGAATTAACCTCTATATTGTGTACGAGTATCTTGGAGGTGGTACGCTTCAGCAACTAATCGATTTGAACCGAAGCACACCGTTTACGTACGAGCGAGGATTGCGCTATGCACAGATGATCGCAATTGGCATGCGCTTCTTGCACGGTCTGACTGTGCCAATTGTTCACCGTGATCTAAAGCCACTGAACTGCATCTTTGATTCGGAGCAAGAGATGCTGAAAATTGCAGATTTTGGTGAATCGCGGTTGCTACGAACGCGAGAAGTCGTGGATCCGGAATCAATATTTTTTTCGTCGGCTGACATAACTGTACAAATGACAACTAATATTGGGAGTGCTTGCTGGGCAGCGCCGGAAGTGCTAAAAGATGAGGCCAAGTCGGAATACTCGATCAAGATTGATGTTTACAGCTTTGGCATTATCTGCTGGCAGCTGTACACGTGTGGTGTGCCATATGCGGATATTCCGGGAAGCGTTTTGGCTGTGGCAGAGGCCGTATTAAGTGGTGTGCGTCCACCAATTCCTCCCGACTGTCCTCGATTATTTGCTAAAATTATGGAGCGCTGCTGGCATGACAATCCTTTGCGACGTCCGACTTTTGATGATATTGTCCAGCTGTTAGAAAGTGAGCTAACAGAAGAGCGTCGTCGGTGTACTCGCGGCGGAGACAACGCAGCAGTTGCACCACCAACACTTGGTATGAGCAATTTTGGCGACTCTTGCATGGAGAATAATAATCTGAATAGGAATTCTAGTGCTGATTGATATTAGCAACATTTAATAGATCAGTAATAGTGTAACATATCATGGACAAACTTTAAAGTACGCATTTTTAGCGCGTGTTTCGATTCATGGTATCACGATCTACCCTCTGGTCAAATAATGCCTAGCACACGCAAACGGCTTTCATATTCCGTACGTCCAATGTAGCACCCAATAAGCGCGCGATCTCCGCCCTCAAAGGCATGACGACCATGCATCACACGCTGATTGTCCACGATCATCATATCGCCCACCTTCAATTTCAGGCAAAACTCCATCTCTGGTCGACGCAATATTTCAAGCAGCTTGCGATGGGACTGATAAAATTCTTCTACTTGCTCAAAGGTCAAGTGCGTCAGCGGGGCACGATCGTAATCATTGTGACGAAACTGAACGATATTACCCGCGTAGTCTAATCTAATAAGCGGCTCCATGGTAGCCAAGTGCGCATCTTTGTCCACCGTAAAATACGGAAGTAATGTCTTGCTCAAAACACAAAATGCCTCGTAGTTCTCCTTCCTAAGCGTTTCCACCACGTGAAACGAGTCGATATAACGACTTTCACCACCATCACCAGCCTGGGATGCACAATTAAAGATTTGCAGTCCAGGCGGATCGCTCATGTAAGTGCCATCGGTGTGGTGCAGTAACTCAAGGTTCGTAGCCGCAGTATCGTTGTAATCTTCGGCATCGTCAATCGGGTTTGTCGTCCACATGGTGCCGTAGATTGTGCGCAATGCGAAGCCAATCTTCTTTGAAAATTGCTCAGTAGCTTCCATCGTGCTTGGCGTGCCTGATACACATACTAAACCGTACTTGTACACGTCACTCATGAGTGGCTCAATATTACAAACACAGTCATCATATTCGTGTGTGGGCAGCTTGAAATTCGTTCCGGCCCACAGCTCCTTGGTTGTCAGGCGTGGTAATCGATATGATTTCGAGTAAGGTGCTGCTGTCTCATCCTCTGCGTTACCCCCTTCCAGCGAGTACGCGTGGTCTCGCAGCCACTGCGCGTCAAACTTACTAACGGTGCATGGAGAACCGCACACGAGGGAATTCCAGTCAATTGCCACGGCACTACCGGCTTCAATCAATCGAAGCCGTCGTAGTGGCATGTTAATTGGGATTGACGCTGTGTCCAGCTGGCGCTGCTGCGTCTCTGGGTGCATACAGTGCTCACAGCGGCAGTGGTCACGCAACCAAAGCTTGTGGAATTTGGCAGTGGCACCGTCTTCGAATGTGATGCGAACAGCTCGCTCATTGGCAAGCTCCATAACATTAGTAATACGCTCGCCTACAAGAAGCTTGTCGGCTAGTGCTGACGCGAACGCGCGAGCTCCTCGATGGTGTAGAGAGCTGGAAATAGCGACATTACTTGGCTTCAGATTGCGTAATTGGTGGAACACGTATGAGCGCATTTGTAGATGCACAAGGGATTGCTTTTGCTTTCTCGGCAATGAAGGCGAAAATAAAAGTGCAACCGCTGACAAGTTCCGTTTATTTGAGCCTTTCGGTAATTGAGTGGACCCCTTCCCGTAGCCATTAACTCGTGACGTTAACAATTTGAAAATAGGCTCTGATCGCCGGCAGCGTCCACCGATTACTATAGCGACGGTGAAAAAAAGAAGCGTGACCGCCTGCATCAACATTTTGTGAAACCAAAAATTAGAATAGAAGCAAGAATGGAGCAGATTTTGTAGATATGTTTGAGCACTTTGACGAGAATATCCGGCACTATTGCACTATTTTATAATTCTTAATGGTATCGAAAAATAGGTTTAAGCGTTTGTTGCAGCGTGTGATGGCATTCAGCCCAACTTAATATGAATTATGTATGTATCAGCTATAGGTGAATAAAACTTTAACGATGTAAATGGCTAGACGACTGAACTACTTTGCAGTGAAAACGCAGAAGGCTGCGCTAATTGGCGCTACAGTCAGACACCATCATTTTTGTTTTGTTTTGCCATCTCTCATGGCTAACCATCCATAGTAAGCCACCCATCCTATATTGTAATTTCAACGTCTTTCACGCGTACAACCTATTATAAAGACGGCGTATGAAACTGCTCAGTCACTAGCCTTGCCTAGATTCGATAAACGATCTCATTTTAGGCATGTCGTGGCTGGAACGCCACGAGCTATAGATCTAGTGGACGTCAAAAAAAGCTAAGTGCAAAACACATTCGAGCTCACGGATGATTAAAGAGTCATGAACTTACCTTTAGTGACAGCAAAATCAGTTCTGGTTCCGGCACAAAACTGTTATAGCTCAATTGATAGCAATGATATTGCTAAGTGCCTCGAGCAGATCTCGGGAGGCAGAAGCAGCAATTTGCCGAGGTCTCAGGATAAGACGGTAAGAGACGACTATATACTCCAGTCTCCAAATTTTGTTTCTGTTACGAACGAAATGTGCGACTGTGTGTCTTGACTCACACAGTGTATCTCATTTGAAATAACCGATATATGTTGTATCTTGTGCTAAGGTCGGCGGAAAGTCGAAGCGACTGGAGGTCGCAGTCTTCCATGCCAGAGCCAGTTGAGTTTGAGGATGACTGTCAGCTGCGCTTCACTGTGATCTCTTGTAACCTACGCTAGGGTCAGTAGAAAATGGGAGCAACTGGAGGTTGCAATCTTCTATGCCAGTGGAGCTGGATGGCGACTGTCATTCGCGAGAATAGGCGGGAGTTAAGGAGGTCCACGCATCCCTTTCACGTCGTGGTGTGTCAGTCGTGCGGAGCTGTAAATCTCCATAAGCAAGTGGCAAATTATTACTAGTGTATGAAATGACTAGGGTCGTCTCGAAGATTGTACGTATCCCCTAACTACATCGGGCAGAAGCGCTAATAAAGCCCAAGGAGCTTTCGATATGTGCAACAACATAACAAGATGTTTACGTCACCGAAATGGTCGGCTGCAACCAGAAGAGGAGCTTGGCTCGTTTTTAAATACGAATAAATCTATCCTTAAGGACACTTGCGAAGCATTTAGCTCGTCGAGTGAAAACGATCGACCACATGAATTATTTCTATCTTTTGTTGAAGAATTCATGACATGGAAACGGAAGATCGACCACGCTTGCTGATACCTGAATATGGAGTGTGTCATCAAACTTCATCATCCGAATCAAAATATCAGTGTGAATAGACTGATGCATTATTCTATACAAAGCATGTTCAATGAGAGAGCAAAATTTACACTCTTGGTTTTGACTTCATGCATCAGAAAGGCTAATGATAAGTGGCGGACGTGCGTGCTTATAATAAGCAAATTGCAATCATCCACGATTACGACGCATACAAAAGTTTCTTTTTGGAAAAAAATGGAACTTTTGTATGCGCCGTAATTTGGATGCGTTGTCTGTGGGAAGATCTTGTATACATTGAGACCGTTGCTAATTGGCGAGTGCCTTTGTCTTAAAAGGATTTGAAAAAGTGGCTCTGCTCGGTCAATTACTTGCCTGTGCAAGTTATGTTAACACGACACGAACCTCACCAACCTCCGTAAACTGATTGTCAAGTGATGTAGACGTGCGACGGAAGAGGCGACCTTTAGGCTATGAAAATAAACCTCAGTCGTGATCCAATTTTGGCTTTAATTAAACCTGGAACGACCATTACACATGATCTGTGTTGCTTCAGCTTTTGCATAAGGCTGCGCTTTGCTCCTTGCTCATACCAATAGACATGACCGCTTGATAGCTTGTAAGTCTCGCTAGCTGAAAGATACCAAGAAGTGCGAAAGTTCACCTGCTTGATTGTAATCCATTTGTTATCTATATGGAACATGCGTCGTTGCGCAAAGCGACGTCGTTATCACACCTCTCCCAGCGATAAGCAAGATGTTATCGTTCTTTGCAACGTATACCTTTAAGGAACGAGCTGAGCCGGGTTGGTCCAACTTGGTGGCGGATTCGCTTTGACGTCGCCCCGACTATATTTCTCAATGGTGGTGTCATCAATTGACGAAGTGATGTATACAGCGTACACACGAGATGCAACATGTGTATCGCTGCCGAAATTCTTGATAAGCAAGGGAGTTGAAAAATCATCTTTCACTTCACTGAAGCCGGCGATTGACCGCCTGCTTGCTATGCCATGCTTCAAGTCTTGCTGTGTGTCAGCACTGGTCTTCATGACACACAGCGTGTTGTGGTACCTCAATATAAAAAATCTCAAAACGAAATACACAACAAGGCAAATAATAACCTTTTGGTAGCCACCTCAAAAAAGAAAGACAAATGTTCAGTGAAAGCTATGTGTTAGTAGTAATAGTGGCTTAAGCACACATGTGCGCAAGTTTGAAGGATGTCGGATGGATAGAGTGCTAGCTATCCATCAGGAGAGCTACTTTTTTCGGTCATCCAAAAGGCGTGTCGGGAATTTTGTATGGTGATCTTTGCGGTCCGTCTAAGTATGACGAATCATCTCGCTCGTGCAGGCAAATTTGTGACTGGCAATGATATCGCTAATATATATCTTCAAGATGTGTTCCGACAACATTGCTAGCCGGTAGCCAGTTTGTCAGATAAAGAGTCGCGCTTCACAGCGACTTTTGGTAACCTTACTCAAGGCGATCAGCACCTGATTAGCTATATGAGCTGCTGACCATTCGCAAACAGATGATCAGAAAGAGCTCTTGAATTTTGTTGTCGAGAATAACCCTAGACGCACATGCGGAGAGACCGCGGTGCTGGAGCAAGTTGCTCTTATGCGTTAAATAAAGCAAGGCATGCCTCTACAAACATTATCTATTTTACATGAATCGTTTGGTGATCCGTCGGGCGCCTTTGACACCACCACGAAGTAGCTCAGACCTTAGGGAGGGAGAAGCCGTCGATCAAAATTGACTTGCTGATTTCATCCTGGCTTTACTTCGTAGCAAGATAAGCAATTTTATTCGAATCAGACCGAGTATCGCCATTACGAATATGTTGTGAAGCAAAATTGCTTATTGAAAGCAATAGAATTACCTTCGCATGCAGTATCTACAGTCTATAAGACTGTGTTGCGACCGCGCTACGTCGGACCGTTCACGGTCGTTGCAAAAAAGTGATCGAGTTCTACTTTTATAACGTCCCACAGAGAATGCGAGCAAATCGGATGTGAAGAGCTCTCATGTATATGAAACAGATCCTTTACCATCTCATATAACTTAAATATCCACTGCATCAAGGTATTAATTTTGTTATGAGCCGCTGGAGATGCTTCAAGCTACCCAGTGCGGTCGCAAAGAGCAAAGTATATCCGCACCAAGACTCATTGGTGGATGCATTTCAAGATTTTCGAAGCGACTGGAGGTGTCGCCACAGCCGATAAAGCTCATATAAGTCAGCCACGGCAGGGTTGACTATCGGCGGAAATATTCAATGAACAAGGGGCGGGCCAGCTTTATGTGGATGGTCTGGTACGCTATCGAGTACCCCGGGGTTGTTTTTAGTCTCTGGTGAAGCGGAAGAGTAATACCCAATTTTGTCGGAGCTTCAGGTGTCTCATCGACATGATTACCCTTGCTGTTACCGCTTACGACCTGGCGACCCCTCAGCTTTTGTCGCCCTTGGACAAGCGATTGGGCTGCTCGTCGTAGCGCGCTACCAACTTGTGGGTAGAGACCGATCTTAAGGTTGGAAATACCCTAGCTCGGCGCTGTCTTATGTACGACGAGCGCGGCGTTCAACAGCAGAAACTGAAGGTGATGGTTGCTCACTTGACATCCGCGTCATGCTTTGTTCCTAAAAGTTATCATGAGACGATGCTGCAGGTGGACATATGCTACGCTGAAACTGGTTTCAGACGAGTAAGACGGCATTTTTTCTTACATCGCAAGCTGAGTCGTACAACCATCAGCATGTTTGCCATATTCGAGTACCCAACACACACCAGTCATGGAGGGTACAGATTTCCCAATTGCTGCTACTATAAGCGCAGGTGATGCTTGTAGGCAGTGAAGACCTGTGAGATGAAAAACCGATCGCAAGACATCTTTCTCATGTTCCTTTTGCTCTTGATGTCGTGTGCATTTGAGTGCATAGCCGTGGCAAGCGACTTCCAACAGTTTAAGATCGTTATACCGACATGATGACTTGAGTAAGTGCTCTCGCACTTACAGTGAACAAACCGAGCTCTTTTAGAAAGGCTTGTTCGTCAGTAAAAAGCTGGACATTTTTGTGATTCTCACGTGACGTTGACCAGTCTCTTCAACAATATACTTTCCAAGAAAGTTGAAGGTCAAGCTTTGTGCACCCAAAATTTTATGTACGTTCAAGCTGAGGTTACACCTAAGTGCACGAATTTAAGGTTTATTTGTAACTATCTGGGAGCCTTTGGTGCAGCGGGGCTGCCGTAGCTCTTTGCTTAGAGAGAGCTAAGTATAGGTCACCGACCGTGTAAAGTGTAGCGGATCGCATTCCGCTACCTCCAAGTACTCAAGCCTTAATTAAGGCAAACGAACACTTCTGATTAAAATCAAACTGTTTAATTGTTTTAGTTGCGGCAGAGCCGCCAATCTCTAAAACCCTAGGGTTTTCTTAATCAATATAGTAATACCTAATTCATATAGCAGAACCTGATTAATATAGTAATATGCATTACTACTGGCAATTCTGCCACGAGGTGACTTGACTTCTTGTTACGGTATAGCCACACCA